GAGGAAGGAAGGAAGGAAGGAAGGAAGGAAGGAAGGAAGGAAGGAAGGAAGGAAGGAAGGAAGGAAGGGCAAATCATTGACTGGTGAATATTCAGGAATATCTGCAGTGTCCGTGGAGGACCAGACCTTGGCTAGACAACCTGGGCCCACTCTTTTTGAGGTACACACTCAAGCAGACAGGCATCCCAGGGCACAGGACCTGGCAAAGAGAGTATGGCCTTGGACTCCCACAAGATGGCCTGAGGTCACTTCTTGGCTTCACCCCTAATGGCTCCACCTTGCATGGGTTTCTTTCTTTCTTTCTTTTTTGTATAAGACAGAGTTTTATATACAGGGTAATTGGACATTGAGAAAGCATCCCAACCCAGTCCAGTCCAAGCCCATAAGTCTGATATTAGTCCGTATATCCAATCCCAATCTATAAAGTCCTCTTCAGACTCACAAAACACACGCAATGACACCAAATGCAGGACAATCACAAGCCAGTGGGTGGAAAGTCTTTGGATCCATTGTTGTTGCAAGCATCTCAGCGCTGGCAGGGGTCTCTGCGTGACTTCTCCGGCTCCAGAGGTCTGGTTGCATCAGGGTAGGACCATGTGGCCCCTCCGGCTCAGGCCACTAGCGTAGTTCCCCATGTGCCTTGTCAGCTGCAGTGTCTCCCAGGGAGTGAGCAGAGAGAGAGGGGGTTTCCTTTCTTTTAGAGTCTGCATTTCTTCATCTACAAAAGGGACAGCTTGGGCCCATCGCCTCTCAAAGCTCTTCCAGCCCCGAATCGTGACGGTTTTACCCTCTTGAGTGCTCGTTAGAACTTTCCAGCCTAACCAACAGCAAAAACCCCAAACCAAGATCACTGCCATCGAGTCAACAAAAAGGACGCGTGAATTAAAAAAACCCTCTAATTCATATCCCTCCTCCTTCCCCCACCCATTCCACACACACCCCACACTCTCCACCCCACCCCAGCCCCATGACAATTTTCAGGGGAAATTCCATGGGGCACATGGTTCCTGGGAGAGACTGGGTGCTCAGTGTCTGCCCTGGAGACCTTGACTCAAGAGGCCTTTGTGGGCACTGTTCAGTAGTCTGCTAGCTACAGCAGGCACATGGAGCCTGTGCAGGATGGCAGACTGGAAGTTCTAGTTAAAACGCAGGCTTGGTAGAGGGGACTTCAAGAAGCCAGGGAGTGGAGGGCCATTTGCCGGAGTCTCAAGGCCATGCTCACGTCTTTTGAGCCCCCCGTTTCCCCTCCTGTGAGGCTAGAACATGCTGGTCAGCAAGGTTCTGGATGTCAGGCTTGTGTTTCCGTCTGTCTCCTCCCCACAGCTGTACCCGGGAGCCCTTCATAGTCCCGTTTTACCGATAAAGACGATGAAGACAGCAAGACCCAGGGAGTTAGGTGCCTTGACTGTGAAAGCCACAGAGCTCCTATGGGGCAGAGGGAAGGGGAATTCAAGTGAGGCTGCTTTTTGACTCTGAAGTCCATGTTCTTCCCATATTCTGGTTCTGCTTCCCCACCGTGGTGAGTGTCGAGCAGCCGGGTGATCAGGGATGGCCACAGGTTCGTGCGTGGCGGATTCTTGGTTGGGAGAGAGTTCCAAAGGACGGCTGGGTTTTACAGGCCAGGCCGACAATCTGGGCAGCCATGGAGGGGCCCGGCTCAGCAAGGCCCCAGGTGGGTGTCAAGCACTGCTGTTGCCATCTTGAGATTCTGATGTCTTTTGAAGAAAGGGCCCTCCATTGTCAGTTTGCGCTCAGTGAGCCTTACAGATTTTGTAGCTGGTTTTGCCAGAAATACCAGGAGAGGGTAGAGGGTGGTGAGGGTCTGGGGCCGAGTGAGCGTTTTTAGGGGCCTGAGCTGATGCGGCCATCTCAGAATCGAACCCATATGTGCTGCTGGGAAATCCTTCAAGTCTCAGCAACTCTGCTCAGACGGGAGCAAAAGAAAGTGCTGGTGGGCACTTTATCACGACGGTTAGCAGGGCCGGGAGACTTAGCCAGGATTTCCCCGGCCGAGGATGAGTCTCAGGCCCCCAGTGGATGCAAACAGATGGGAAGTATACAGGTGGCAGCTAGAGTGTGTACTGCTGGAGACTCCATTTTATCAAGGTGGTCACTGCTTTTCCCGTGGCCGCTGTCACAAAGGGCCACCATCTAGGTGGCAAAAAGAGCAGGGGTTGATTGCCACATAGCGTGGGGAGCAGACGTTTGGCTGATTGAAGGCTGAAGCAGAGAATCCTTCCTTGCCTCTCCCTAGCTTCTGATGGTCCCTGACAACCCTTGCCTTGTAGATGTATCACGTGGCCTTTCCCCTCGTGTGTCTCTCTGTATCTCTTTTCTTCTTATAAGGAACTGGTCATACTTGATTCTCACGCTACCCAAGTATGAGCACCTATTAAGTGTTAACATTTACAAAGGTGCTATTTTGAAACAAGGTGACATTCACAGGTACAGGCCTTCGGGCTTCAATTTATCTCTTAGGAGGACATAGTTCAGTCCATCCAAGTAACAGGGGGTGATATCCACCGTGTCTCTCAGCCATGTAACATTGGAGTCTTTGGAATCTTCAGCTTTCATTTTCCTCATCAGCTGTAGCTGCGTTCTCTTCTCCCCTTAGAGATAGAACTGTTCAAGGGAATGTTTCCAGTGCAGTATTGGCTAGCCAGAAGCTCAAAACCAAAAGCCTGGTTCAGGAATGGCAAGCATGGCTAGTGTTTGTGGAGGGTGTGCTTTGTTCAGATGCAGTTTCTTTCAGCAACACTTGGGTTGGAAGCCATGCTTTTAAGAGGAGGAAGCTGAAGTGCTGCGAGGTTAAACCCCACGCCTTCATCTTCGTCTGGTGTACATGTTCTTACATATCAACCTCCGCTGTCTTTATACGTGCTTTTGTTTTTCAGAGTTACAATTTCAAAAGGAAAAAGAAAAGTGTTGTCAGAGAAAGCTCTTTGAGATCTTTTGTGTAAACACGGTTCCCCATGATGAATATACTCGGCCGATTCTTAGGTTCCTGGGGTACCTTCATTAAAGGAACCGGTTCCAGAAGCCTGGGCCTGGGGCCTGGTCCACACCTAGACTCCCTGGTGGGCCACTGGATGTGGCTGAGTGGAGGAGACCCAAGACAAGACCAAGTTCTCAGTGGAGGCCTTGGAGGGTTTTACTTCCTCCTCTTCACTCCATGTGATCATTTTTCTCAGCAGGACCAGAAAACCCAACTCAGCCAGGGGCCTCTGCTGGCGCTGCCTGGCCCTGTGCTGACTGGCTGCTGCAAGAGGCAGAAGCCCAGCGCACGCAGGCCCGCCCAGGACTGAAGTTCGTTTTGCAGTGTGCTGTTTCTGAAGCACATGGAGCTGCCTCGCCGGTCCAGCATGCACCAGAGCGTCAACAAGGGGAAGTAGACGCCCAGCCGCCTTCCTATTATGGCCTGCGAGCACCAGACAGACCCTGGCGGGGCAGTCGGCCCCTTGCCCGCCTCCTCCCCTGGCTGGAGCGCCCTGCCTGGGGTTAGCCCCCCTGGCTGGGGGCAAGGTAAGATCAGGACCCTTCACTTGTCCTGGGATGCTGCACTGCACTCACAGCATGATTGATGGTGGGGTACAGAAGTTCCTTTTGGGATGCATTTCCTGGCCACTCCAGTTTCAGTCAGTTCGATCCAATGTTCTCTGTTGCTATCGTAGACCAAGCCATTGCCACCCTCTGCGTGGATGTGGCTTTCTGTGCAGGCTCACCTCCTTCCTCTCATTCTCTGTACGATCGTTAAAGGCACAGCAATGTCCACATACATACATATGGTATAGAGTATATAGAAACACGCACATACAATGCACACTTGATTGTGCCGTTTCTGCTTCAGGGTTTCCCATTGGGCTTAGCATGAAGAGCCATCTTCTGCAGGCTTACCAGGCCCTGCCCACCCTTCCTTATGCTCTGCCTCAGGGCCTTTGCATCTGCTGTGCCTTCTGCTTGGCTTGCTTCTGTGCTCCTTTTTGCCTGCTTAATTTCCACATATCCTTTAGGGCCAGCTCAAGTATATTGTCCATGAGAAGTCTTTTCTGGATGGTGCAGTGGGAAAAGCATCTAGGAGCAGTAGCAGTAGTATCTGTCAGAACCTAACTTCAAGATCGGTAAACCAAGATGGGCCCAAGGCTGGTCCTTGAGTTGGAGGTCAGCTATGTGTCCACTTTCCAACCCATCGCAGTGGGCACGTCGAGCTCTCAGACCTCACCTATAGTTAAGTGGCTTATTAAGGAACAGGGTACAAACCCAGATCAGGATCAGGGAACAGGTAAAGTCTCCCTTCTTCAGTGCAGGGCAACTCTGTTAGCTTCTCACAGCTGGGTGTGGCTTCTCTCCGCACCTAGGACAGGCCTCTAGGTCCTGCCTCTGCTTTGGTCAGCTCTGCTGCTGGGCTCCTGTGAGGCCTGTGGCCACGTGTTGTCTGCAGCACTTATGGCACTTGACCCATCTTACAGCTCCCTGAGGAGCTTCCTTGACGCCACTCTCCCAGCTCTTTCTTCCTTTTACTTCCTGCTTCGTTCAGCCGCAAGTCTCTGTGAGGTTGGCTGCTTGTGTATACAACCCTTTGTCAAGTTCGAGGCCATGCCCCCCTCCCTTGGTGGGCTACAAACACCTAATTTGCATATCAGGTTACAGTTACTTCATTTACACAGTGTCTTGACCAATCGCTTCAAGGAGCGTACTGATCACAGACGAAGGCCACCGCCCAGGACCGAACCCATAGTATCAAACCAAGTTGTTCACAGTTTACCCAAGACAGGTCAGTCATCCTGAACAAGAGTAAGGAACGCTCTGGGGAGTAGAAGACGAGGACGGAAGTCACTCCTCGGCATGTAAGGCAAAAATCTCTCTAGCTGTTTCTCCAAGGCTCCATTGAACAACTCATTTCCCCATACCCAGCTTAAATCAGGCGCGTCCTGTTTCTCCCAATGTGTATGTTCTGATCTGTACTGAATAACAACCTGAGGAAGAAAGTATCCATTGTCTGGTCTGTTTACTTTGGGCTGTAAGTCCCAGGAGAGCAGGGCAGCCGTGCTGGGCTTCTTGCTCTCTCTCTGCAGTGTCCAGCACAGGGCTCGACCGGGAGAAAATGGTCAGTAAGTGTTTGCAGGAATACACACATGGAGGCCTTGGGCTAGGCCAGGGGAAGGACCACTTGGAAGTGTGGGATTCACAGGAATGAGTCTGTTTATTTATGGGATTGGCAATCTGGATGCTTACAAGTCATTCTCTTTTCATTACTACTGTTACTAGGAAGGCAGTTTATGCATGCCATGATCCATTCTATTAGGGGAACAGAGTGGAACCATTTCCCTTCAGAACTCGGAAGACAGAGCTGCGTGCTGGCCCCCGCACTCTGGTCATTTCTAGGGTCGCTTTGGCTACTGTAGGGGTGCAAACAGGACTTCCGAGTGGAGGACTTGCTTTCTCACTGTAAGGAACTGATGAGAGACGCAGCTGCCAGGAGCTCAGGGATGCGTGGCTGGAACGACCAGCAGAGCCAAGGTGAACAGTTGACTTGGACAAACTTGTTCTTCTACAGGCAATGAGCCAGGTCGGGGACAGTGCAACTTCTCCCCTCCAGGAGGCCCCAGCAGTGTGGCCTTCCCCCTCGATCCTGTGATGTGGGGAGGGTACTGGCTTCCTCAGACGGCCATAGCCAAATACCACACCCTCCATGGGTTTGGAGGCCACAAGTCTGAATCGACTTGCCCACACATGCCTTCTAAAGGCTCTAGGGCAGCGGTTCTCAACCTGTGGGTCGAGACCCCTTTGGGGAGGGGGTGTCAAAGGACCGTTTCCTAGGGGTCACCCGATTCATAATGGTAGCAAAATAACAGTGATGAAGTAGCAACGAAAATAATGTTATGGTTGGGGGTCACCACCGCCTGAGGAGCTGTATGACGGGTCGCTGCATGAGGAAGGTGGAGGTCCTTTGTGGGCAGTCCCGGCTTCGGGTTGCCCGGCAGTTCCTTGACTCGCACTGGCGTTTTCACATGATTACCCTCTTTCTGTGCAGGGCGTGTTTTAGACCTACTGGTTTGTGAGCTAGGACAACGGTCACTCAGACACCGAGGAAAGAGATAGATGCCAGGTGGACATCTCCCCAGAGAGCCGAGAAGATTCGAGAGAAGCCGAGAAAGGGATTTTCCTTCTCTGTGGACAGGGAGAGCCTTCCTTTTCCAGCCTCTGTTTGTTTGAACCTCCCACGTGGGCCAAGTCGAAATTATGAGCAGGATTTAACTGGGTGACATTAGGAGGACATTTCCAGAGAGAATAAACAGTTTATGTAAAGCAACCCCCCCTTCCCCCCTTGTTTTGTCTGTGCCTCTTTGTCTGTCTCTCTTTTTAAACTAAGAACGTTTGGGCGAGTGGATTAGGACCCAGCCTATTTGGTACGAGCTCCTGCTCACAGAACCGGTGACTTCTTCAAAGACGTTATTTCCCAACAAGGTCACATTCGCAGTCACCAGCCGTTAGGACTTCGGCGTATCTGCGGGGGGCACAATTCAGCCCACGACGGCGGTGCGAGTCCCTGTGTGGCGGAACTGTCTGTATTCTGTGTGCTGCCCTTTATGTCCGCGTGTTTCTCTTTTTCTTGCTTCCATTTCCTGTGTTTACGCGAGCCAAGGGCCTTTGCTTCTCAGAAGCCCCGTTTCCTCTCCTGGGACAATGGTGTGCAGCCTTGAGGGTCCTTGCAGGAGTGGAAACGTGGTCCTGAAGTGTCCTTAGTACACGGCCTGGCGCACCCCTTAGTCATGGGGTGGCACCTGGAAGCTGCTGCCACCTGCCGCCCTCCCTCTCTCGTTTCCCTCAGCTCATTATGATAAGATTTCATCTCATAACTTCTCCTTCTTGAATTTCATTTTCAAGAAGCTAACTTTGCATTCCTTGTGGAATAAGGCATAAGCAGGGTAAAAAGAAATACAAGGGTGGGGAGGGGAAAAATGAGGACCCGATATTAAGGGCTTAAGTAGAAGGCAAATGTTTTGAGAGTGGTGATGGCAACAAATGTACATATGTGCTTGACACAATGGATGTATGGATTGTGATAGGAATTGTACGAACCCCCAATAAAATGATTTTTTTTTAAAAAGAAAGAAATACAAGGAAAACAGTGTTACGTTATTGTAACCCCTTCATCACCACCAGTCTGTGTTTACATGACAATAACAGCAAAGGCCAATTCTGCAGCCCCCACTTTGTGCCCAACATCCTTTTCTGGGGCGTTTGAAATCACCTGTACTATTTAGGACCAGGTGTGCTTGGTTCAGTGGTAGCACTTCCTTTCCACAGGTGAGACTCAGGTGTGAGCCCCAGCCGGGGCAGCTCCTGTTGGTGAGGACCGGCCTGAGGCATGAGGCTGCCATACTGAGCAGGCTTCTGCAGGGCTTCCGTGTGAACGACTGCCGCAAACCAGGCGCTGAAAACCCGCTGGGTCACACGGTCTGATCCACCACCAGCTGACGCAGGGCTGAGCGGCCTGACTCAAAGGCAGCTAAGGGCAACAGCAACAACCACGTTTTGGGAAGGACATTTTCTGCAGTGGGAATGGGCAAACAGGCCCAGGGTTTCCTGGCTGGAGGCTCAGTTGTAAGCTTGCACCTGGCAGCTATCTGGCTTGGTCTTTCCCAGCTCCGCCTCCCTCCGCACTCCCGCCTTCTTGCAAACAAGGAAGCCTGGCCATTGAGTCGGTTCTGACTCACAGTGACCTTATAGGACAGGGTGGAACTGCCATGGTGAGTTTCTGAGATTAACTTTCTCTCTTTTTAAAAAAAATCATTTTATTGGGGGGCTCTTACAAATCTTGTACATCTGTTGCCATCAACATTTCCAAAACAGTTTCTACTTGAGCCCTTGGTATCAGCTCTTCTCTTTTTCCCACTCTCCCAGCCTCATGAATCCTTGATCAATTATATATTATTGTTATTTCATGTCTTACACTGTCCGTTGTCTCCCTTCACCCACATTTCTGTTATTTGCCCCCCCCCCCGTGTGTGTGTGTGTGTGTGTGTGTGTGTGTGTGCTAAATATCCAGCCTTGTGATGGGTTCTCTCATTCTCCTCCCCCAAACGAATTCTTTTTTTTAACAGTATTTTTAACAGTATTTTCACAGTATTTTCATTAGGGCAGTGGTTCTCAGCCTTCCTAATGCTGCAACCTTTTAATATAGTTCCTCGTGTTGTGGTGACCCCAACCATAAAATTATTTTCCTTGCTACTGTTATGAATTGTAAATATATGAGACACAGGATGTATTTTCATTGTTACAAATTGAACATAGTTAAAGCATAGTGATTAATCACAAAACAATATGTAATTATATGTTGTGAAATGTTTATGTGTTTTCCAATGGTGTTAGGTGACCCCTGTGAAAGGATCGTTCGACCCCAAAGGGGTTGCAACCCACAGGTTGAGAACCATTGCATTAGGGGCTCTTACATCTCTTATCACAATCTATCCATCCATCCATTGTGTCAAGCATATTTGTACATTTGTTGCCATCTTCAT